TCTCTAAAGTTCGGAGAATTTCTAATGACAATAAACTGGAAGAGATACATTCTTTAGTAATGTTTTTGTTTTATCGTGCACAAGAATGTTAAATTAGAACAAAGTTATATCAAGATTCATTGAGCTTTCCGAATAAAAAAAATTCTAACCTAGTTATGACAAAATGAAATGGTTTAGCGAAGATCTTAGGATTGAACTTGTCAAAATTCAGAAAAAGACTTAAAAACATGCTTTTTCGTTTAGGAGACATAAAATTTAAGTCAAGAAAGTTCATATTCTCAATCAGTTGCCACTTTTCTTAGTCTTATACAGATCTACGCACGTCAAAATGCAAAATCAGGTAGCATTCAGCACTCAAAAATGTTCTCTTATTGCGGATGAAACATGTTTTGCAAACTAATGATTATCAATGTCCAAATTAATTATTTTTTAACAAGATGTATACTGAACATTACTCTGTTGCCTAAATCTGTGGGATTTGTAGAAGAAATATGTGTCAATCCAGAATATAAAAAACTCGATATATTTAAGGGTTTTATAACATGTTTTTTGCAAGTTTTTCGATCATAGATTGATAAAAGAGCGGAAGCTTTTGATAAAATTAGGTTGCTTTCACCCACCCTATTTTGTATTTCCGCTTTAGTTTTAAGTTTTTCTGAATTATTACGAATGTAAGAGGTTAAATACACATTCAGCAAATCTCTTTTATCGTTGACAATATTCGAATTCATACTCTTTATCATGCGCCTCTAAATTTGGTTTTTACTTCCATTGAGAGTTTTCAGACTTTAACAGAATATGATTGTCGTATCGCTTTGTATCAAAGAATTAGTTTATATATGTGTACAGACTATTTAATCAGCATCCCATTGGAATGAATCTTCAACTTTAGCATCTTTCCTCCTGAAACACTTGCTTGTTTATTTAGAATCTGATTCAATCATCACAACTTCACTAAAATCGTATACTAGATCAGCGTATTTCATCAGGCGTATCAATCGGGAATTAGAAGAGCTGAAGCAAGCAGCTAAAAGTATTTTTATCCTCGATATCGATCCAACATCTGATGCTTCCACATTTTCGATTGGCTCAGAGGTGGCATCATCGCTTTCATCAAATGATATTGTCATTGAGGGTCGTATTCTACCAACATCGGAACCTTTTTGTCAACGTTCATTTCGCGTCATGTTTATACTATTAGAATCGTATCCCTTCCATCCTCCCATTTTAAAATTTCTGGACCCTATCTACCATCCAAATATCGACAATAAGGGTAAAATTTGTATTAGCTTACTGGACGAATACGAATCCTACCACATTAATGTGTCATTGTCTGATATCATTAAAGCTGTAGTATTGATGATTAGCAATCCCGATCTGAATTATGTGATCAACATCGAAGCTGGCAGAGAATACAGCGAAAACCGCGATGAATTTAATCGGAAGGCACTCGAGTCTGTTCTTAAGTATGGTCAACCACGCATGCAAGATTGTCTCGACATTAACACATTCAATCCAATTCGGTTTTCTTAGAAAATTTTTCCGAGATGTTCATTTTTATGGACAGTTAACTTGTAATAAATGCACTTAATGACCTTTTCATTGTCTTCTACTGATTGTTTGTCGTTCTATTCTTTATATCATTACATAATGAATCATTCTTTTCTGACCAACTGAATAACCGCTCGAGTTACTCTTTCGTTCTTTTTCACATTATACGAAGCATGCGCGAGAAAAAGAAGGAAGTTACTAGCTTTTTCTCCGTTATTCTTTCCTCTCTATCCTTTTGTATATAAATACGACCGAAGTTTTGGAACAGTTCACATGTCTTTCGAAGAAATTGATACAGAAGATAGCGCTAGCTCACTAAGTGAAGTGAGCTCTTTGAATGACGATTTTGATACAATGCATCTTGAATCTGACAGTTCTGACGAAGAAGTTAGTGATGATGATATGGATTCAGGTACTTAGAATGAAATAGAACCAGAATCCAATGCAGAATTCCTGGAGGATCATGGACTCATCGAAGAAGTAACTTCTATTTCAGAAGATAATATAATCGATCCTATCTATTGCCATCGGCATTTCATCACAGACGAAATTATTAGTCTTATGGCTCATGAAACTAATCTATACACGCAGCAATACTTGCAAAACCATGAGATTAGTAGACGGTCAATATCTCATCAATGGAAACCAACCACTAATGAAGAGATGTTCAAGTTCTTTGGAATCATTATCGAAATAGGGTTGGTACGAGTGCCAAAACTGAAGTACTACTGGAGCAGTTGTCAGTCGTATGGTTCAGAGATTATTCGAAATGCCATGTCGAGAAAGAGATTCGAATTACTCCTTAAATTTTGGCATTTTTCGAACAACGATAACAATAATTCGAACCAAGATAGGCTGTTCAAGTTGAAACCACTCTTGGATTTATTGAGAGCCAGATTTTTGTCAGTATATATACCTGGCTCGGTTGTGACTATCGACGAAACTATGATACCATGGCGAGGCAGGCTTTTGTGCAAACAATATATTCCTAGAAAAGTGCACAAGTACGGCGTAAAGATGTACAAGTTAGCGGCTACCAATGGATACACCTAGAATTATGTGATCTATGCCGGTAGGCAAGATCCTATGACAGGTCTTGGACATGTGCTCAAACAGTAGTAATGAATTTGTTGGATGGTCTTGGAGGATGTTATCGAACTGTGGTAGCTGACAACTTCTTTATTAGTATTTCTCTTGCGAAACGTTTGTTGGAGCATGATACGTATCTCATTGGGACACTGACAAGTGATCGCGCCGGATCGAGAAGCAAAGTTGTTCAGAAAAACCTTAGATGCGGTGAAGCTTACGAACTTCAGAATAAAGACGGCGTAAAATTGATTATGTGGAAAGACAAAAAGGACGTCTTGATGATATCCATAAGACCGTCGTATTCAGCAACTATGGTTGATATTGGAAATACCAATAGTAAAAATGAAAGCATCATGAAGCCACAAGTTGTACTAGATTACAATGAGGGAAGACTAGGTAGTGATTTATCTGATCAGCTATTATCATATTACACGTGCCTCAAGCGGTCAATAAAGTGGTACCGAAAGGTAGCATTTGAATTAGTTTTTTGGGCGGCACTAGTAAATAGCTATTTGATATACAAAGAAAACTACGCGGCAAGCAAAGTGACCATTCTGCAGTTTCGTGAAAGTCTTGTCCAGCCTTTACTGCTTGGTACACCAATCGAGAAGCTGAAACCTGGTCCGAGACAACAATTAGCAAGTCATTCGAAGCGTAAACTCGCTGATCGCAAGCTCGAAGAAAAGGAAGGATCTACGTACAATGTTGGCAGACGGTGCACTGGCTGCTATGCGAAGGGAAGGACACAACAGTCAAGAGAAGCGAGTAATGCAGCAGCAAAGAAAGTAAAAACTTTCTGTTCTGATCGTGATAAATTTTTTTGTCTTGAGTGTTTTAATGATAAGCATTATGCTATAGAATAAAGGATTCAAATAAAGTACTGATGGCAGAAGATATGACATCTTATGTTTAACCTCCTGCTTAAGAAAAAAGCAAAAGAAAGTGCTTCTCTATACAGTTTCTCGTTAAACTATAGCGTCGCCCACCAGTGGGCGACGTCGGGCTGAATGTGTTAATAGAATTCCAATCACAACTTGAGAACATCATTTCCTCTACATTTGTATTCACAGCTTGTGTGAGGACACTCCGACAACCCACTTAAAGCTTCTGGACGAGTCTCCGTTCTTTTTGATTGCAAACTGCATTTTGAAAAACAAAAATTACGTCAACTTTTTCGAAACGACGGGAGTCTAGAGAATTAAAAAAACAGCTCTCTATTAGCGAAGCTTTTGGCAGCCGAACATATCATACAAAAAGCATACCACAAACATCCCACCCATTCTAAATCAACGACATGTATACCTCTCCAAAAGCCTCCTTCGAATAACTCATTACAACACGCATATACACCCGCTTTTTACCCCATGTTTTTTCGACCATTCACTCACTAAGTCATCAGAAATATTCATTCACATGTGCGTATGTATATACGCATTTTCTCTGAGAGGGTGGAATAGGAGAACTTGAAGAGATTATTTCATTGCAATAGTCAATCGGATCATCGTCATCTTTGAAATATTTTGTTTTAGTTTTTTTTTCTGATTCTCAATGATCTACCGATATATTTTCTATGTCTTCGTCTTCTTCTTTATGTGAAAAATTGTTTATTTTATATAGAATTGCTTTTGATTTCTAAATAAACTTTTATATATTTTATTAAATCTTGTTTTTTTTTTTGAATATAATATCATATTTCATATCGTTGTACAAATTAAAAAAGAACGAGAAAAAAAAAGATTGTCAATGATAGCAGTCAACTATAAGAAAGATAACATAGAAATAAATTTATCATCAAAATTCTCTGTTGTTTTGTGTTTCTTGACTTTTGAAATTCACCAGAAAAAAAATTGACTGAACACATTATATAGGAGATTTAAAACAATAACCAACAAAAAAAAAGAAAGAAAAAAATAACGAAATGAATTATCGTTTACTGTCTTCTTGAAACATAATAATTGATGTTGCTGATGATTGTTCATCTTCGACTAGATTTAGTGGTGATCGAGCAGAAAAATGAGATGATGGAGAAGATGGTAATATTTGTCGATTTTTTAAAAAAATATTTTCACTATTTAATGATGTAGTTGAAGATACTAACGGAACTGCAGTATGTTGTGTTCGTGGACTAAAACAACATAAAGTTTTAAAAAAAACAAACGGAATTAAAATGTCCTACCTAAGTTTATCAAGTGGAATGATACAATTATGAAAATCAAGTTCAGCAATAGGTTGTGATATAGCAATAATATCATCTTTCTTTTTTCTTCTTTTATTTTTATTTCCATTATTTGTATTGACTGTTGCATTTCGTCGTTTTTTCTTTTTTGGTTTCCAATCATCTTCATCTTCATCATCATTATCAAAATCACCTGTATATTCTTGATCTTCATTTATCATTCGACGATGATTATTACTTGAACTTGATGTCGAATCTAAACAAAAAAACAAAACAATCACATTTTTTTTCTTTTATTTACGGTGTTCGTAATGGTTTTATTCTGCGATTTGACAAAGTCCTTACGGAGAAGAAAGGGAAAAAAACTGAGAAGTTGTTAAAAAATCCCGCTTATAGAAAAGCAATTTACAATTCTTCACCATTTCTGTTGTCGACCTCACCAATACGACTTTCGGATTCTTCATATAAAATTGAGTCTAGACTCTGTCTTATTATATCAGAAATCTGAAAGTCATATTGGTGAAATTGGAAACTGGAATAATGAAAAATTTGCAGAGTTGTTTTTCTAACAACTTCTAAGTATTTCGCATCTTTCTCTATAAGAACTTTGTCGAATCGAAAACTATGGACATATCTGTAATCAATGTAGAAAATTCAATCTAGAATTGTATATTTATACTAAAAATAAACTAAAGAATTTTACCTGTACAAGATCCAGCATCTTCTGGTATAATATTATGTGAATAAATATTTTGAAATTCATCTCCATTTGATCGACTATCATCTGATAAAGCTGTTATAGTCATAACTTGATCAACAATTCGATTTTTTGCTTGACGAGATGAACGTCGACCAACACCTTGAAAAATAGAAAAAAAATCCATAAAAGTTTTTGATTTCAATTAATAAAAAGAAAACCTGATGAAAATATTCTTTTTTGTTCTTTCTCTCACCGAGACATTTCGCTAGATGATACGCAAATCGTATAGCTATGATATTTGATTGACCACATTGAGGACAAATACATGTTTGTTTTTCAATAGCTGTTGTTTGTGATGGTGAAAATGGTATTGAAAAATTTTTTGTTTTAGTACCATTATTATTTATTTCAAGTTGATCTTCAGGTATTCCTTTAAGTGATGAATGAATTTCATAAACTAAATCAAGTATAAGATCATCCAATTCAGTATCAATTATTGATTGAATAATTAAAGATAACTCGTCCATAGAATATAAATTTTATCTGTAAGAAGAAATAACTGCCCATTACTAAAGATTTGTTTGTTTTTTTTGTTTGTTTTTTGTTGTTTGTTGAAAAATAGAAAGAAAGAACGAAAGAAAAAGACACATACACAAATACACTGATGATATATGTTAGACAAGCAATGTACAAACAAAGAGACAAAAAAAAAAAAGAAAAACAATGTACAAATTGTTTCTGTCCTTTATTAATGTTACGTGTAGTTTTAGATATTTATTGATACGGTTGAATTGTATACACATAATTAGGATTTTCACCTGGTTGATCATTTCGAATACAAGTCACAACACGAACCTAAAAAGAAAAATTATAATGAAGACATTGACAGAATCATTGCGGCTATCAATGGCGTAATCACGAATTTTTGAGTCATGTACAATTTTATAGCAAAACTATTTTCAAGTTTGCACAGCTGTCATTAACTTAGACAAAACTATGAGAAATAACTTCTTGAGTGATGGTACAAAGGCTCACCGTCGATTCTCACCAGAAGCTATGGGTTATCACACGTGCTGATTCTATATATATGACCACAGTAAACTTTCTTAGATCTTTATATGCTGATTTGCTAAACTAAAAAAACATTTTGTTAAAATTATTTTCGATCTACTCAGATTATAGAGCATATGTAAGTATCTATGAGAGAATAATCTTTTATGTTGTCCCAAAAAATGATATCATCTTGAAGATTTTCTGCAAGAAAACAATTTGAAATAGAAAAATTTACTGTTTTCTACGTATTTTGATACATCCTATAATCAAGATAGATCAATCCGACAATTAATCAGTCATCTCTATGAAAACAATAGAAAAATTAAAATAAAACCTCTCATTACTTGTCATCTAATCATAATTACAATATTTTATTCGAATGTAGAAAATAAGATAATTCATGAAAAATTAAATAATTCAGCACAGTAAAATAGCATTGACTAGCGAAGAAACTCATCTGACTGATAATTTCAATTTGAGCTCAGAGTACAGATTTAAAAAATCCTGAAAGAGCTCACATCATTAAGTCTTTCTTCTCTCAAGTTATGGTCATTTTCTCTCAACTTTCAGTCTATTGCAGGATATCACAAGAAACATTACAACAAGGAGTTTCAGTTCAAACAGATGTTTTTCTTCTAAGATAACACGTTTGCAAAAACCGTTACTTTCACACAAGAGCTTTCAAAAATAGGTTCGTTTTTAGGCATACCATAACTCGAGAAGAAAAAAGCCTTTTAGGATTTATTTCTATACTATGAGCTCAAACGTAGATCATTAGTTAAATGGGTTTCCTTATAAGTTGCTTGCATTCAATTCAATGATTAATTTCTAAGTATAAAATCTTACTGAATGTCCATAAGGTTCGAGTCCATTTGGATTAGCTGCTGCAACAGCTGGTTTAGCTGCTATTGTTTGACCAGATAATGAAGCTGCAGCTGCTGTTGTTTGTGGTTGTACTTGAACAGTTGTAGCAACTTGTACTTGAGCCATCGGTGCAGATGTTTGACTAACTTGTGCTTGTGCAACTTGTATACGTAAATCATCACTTAATTCACCACCCATTGTCATTGTACGATCATATTTCGATGCATCACGTACTTTAGTTAAAAATGTTCGTAATGGTTCAACATATGAATCAAAACCAAGTGTTAACATTGCTAAAATAATATCTTCACCATTAATTGTTTTTCGTTTTTCCTGAAGACATCGATCAGATGCTTCACTTGTAATAAATGAAATAAATTCCGAAACACATCTATTTATTTAAAAATAATCAATCTTTAGAAGAAAAAAACAAACAAAAACAAATCTTACTCCTGAATAGTTTCTTTAGCATCTTTAGCAATTTTTCCTTTTTCTGGTACACCTTTTTTCATAATTTTTGCAACATTAGCAATTGGTAAAAATCGATCTTGTTCACGTAATGGACCTGTATATCTTGGTAAATCATGATGTTCATTACCATCATCATATGAAGTATCCATTAAATGTTGTTGTTGTGATGGTCGTCCACGTCCACGATAAGTTGATTGTTGATGATGATGACGATGATCATCTTCATCATCCTCTTCTTCATCAAGTTCATCATCATCCGAATAAGGTGCATCTTCTTTTGTTGGATGATATGTACGATCAACATTTGTAGTACTAGTTGACATTCGATGCAAGGAATTATTTTGATGTGATGATGGTGGTGGTGGACGTGTACCTTGTGTACGACGACGATGTATTGGACCATCATTAGAATTTCCAGAATCATTGTCTGAATCCATTTTTAATCTTTGACGAAGAACGATTCGAGGGAGAAGTCAACCACTGGTCACACGCAGTAAGAAGAAAGAATGAATGGAGAGATTAATCAACAAATAAAGAAAGAGCAAGCACTAGAAATAAATATTCATCTTGGATTTTGTCCTTATACAACCAATTATAGACCTCTAAGGAAGCCTCTCTTCATTTTTCTCATTGGTTCGAATAAAAAATTTTATATTGAAATAAAAAAATTAAATTAAAAATTCTCTTAGAAATCAAATAAATATAATAATATTAAATTATTCTGACAATATAGATGTCGCTTCAACGAAGATTAGATGACTCATAAACATTTATTTCAAGTTAGTCAAGATAATATATTTGTTCAATAGCTATTTTGAATATATTTGATAGAATTTTTATTCTATCTGAGAAGAACATATTCTTGCATTATTACATTTTACTGATATCAAATAGGTAATAGACAAAGTTCAAATATTCATTGTAATTAGGACTCTCGATAGATTTTTAGAAGTAGAAGAAGCTAAAAATTTGACAGATAATCGGAGGCAACCTGTCTGACAGAAAGTGACTCAGAAAAAACTGCTTTTTCAAACTTGGCAGATAGTTTTTCGACAATAATTCGAAAGTTTCGTAGACAAAAAGTAAAAAGTAGGGAAAAGGAAACGGCTAATCGAGATCTATTATTGTAATCTACAATTAAAAATTAAAAAAAAAAGATTCTCATCTAAATTTTTATTTAAATTTAAATGAAAAAAAATAAAATATATATGCAATCATATTTAACATTCGATTTATCATTATTCGATAATCTTAAACGAAATATTTGAAAATATTAGCTGACATAAAAAATTCATTTCAATTGCTGGTGGTTTTCGAACGTAAACAGAATTACTGAATGTTGAATTTTTTTTGAACTATTTTTTATTAAAAGTTAAAATGTTGAAAATCATACATTCTAATAAAAAAAATAAACATCATATAAAATTTGTTAGATTTTCATTGCTAACTAAAGAAAGAGCCATGAGATAATTTTATTTCTATAAAATATAACACAGATATATGTTGAAATATTTCCTTCGATATAAGTTTATTTTTGCTTCATCGAATTCTAAGTAATCAATTAAAAATAAACTAAGCATTGATATACTTCCCATCTATAATAGGTAAAAGTATTGTATGAATAGTAAGATGGATAATATCTTGGATATTTAATTCGTTGTCGTTGAATATATCGTTGATTTTTTTTACGAACAAGTCGATCAATTTTAGCAAATTCACGTTTTATGTCAGATTGACTTTGTTCATAACGTGTTGGATGTCCACGAATTCGTTCTACTCGAATATTATTATTCTTCTTTTGTTGTTGATATTGACATAAAGTCTGATAAAAAACAGGATAATCACAACTATCTTTATCTTTAGGACGACAAAGAAGTTGTTCGACTTTAGAATTATCTGTATAAATGATCAATGTATTATAACAATTTTCAAAAGCATGTTGAATAGCAAGACCAGCAGCAAATACTTCACTTTCGGTACTACCTCTTCTTGGACGTTGAGGAAAATAAGAATGAACTGTACTTGAACCATCTGAAGCTCGAAAACCTGAATGACCGATTTGCATACGATGAGAATAACTACCATCAACATAACATATCAATTCTCGTTGTTCTATTGATGGAAGAATTTGATCATTTATTTTAGCTATTTCATTTGTTGATATGACATAATGATCAATGTTTTGGATTGATACGGTATTAGACTCCACCGTGGAAAATAGAAATAGCTCATTAAATATTTCATTATGTGAACTGATTAGAACTGTGGATTGAATAAGATTTGGAACTGCAACTTGATATTCATTATAAAGATTACACGGTTTCAATTGAGATAAATATATGTGTTTTTCTTTGGAAATAATTATCGTTGTATGCTGTTTGAAAATATATAAGATAATTAATATATTGATTAAATATATTGTAAAAATGATAAACAAATTATTAATGAAAAAATCCCATTCCAATGCGTATCCATTTTTGTATAAATTTTCATTTATCGTGAATAAATTCATTGTTTAGTAGTAACTAGTGGCTGCACAATCAAAATAGGTCAAAACTGTCGTGTTTTTTTCATACGTACACGAAGTCTATAGCAAATCAGAAAAAAAAACTATTCGTTCTGTGGGAGTGATGATTCAAAAATGAAAAACAACAAAAAAAACACCCTGACTACTATTGAAAACATGTACTCGATAACATATACATTCAAAAAAACGAGAAAAAAATATCTCGTCGATGAAAGTGGTAGGTAGTATACTTTTACTTGATTCATCACATCATTCATAAAACAGCTTTCATGTTGACGGTGCCTGGTAATAAAACTACTTGAAAATTATTTCTATGACAAATCACGGAAAAAAAAACTTCTCATTATAATGCAGTAATATATTCAAAAAATCTTACATTTTAAAAATAAGAAAACATATGAGTGATTGTCAAAATATTCAATTAATTTAATTAGAAATTTGAATGCACGATCGTCTAAGCAAAAAATACCGCTCGCAGTGTTAGGTAGAGGCAAGAGAGAAATCCTAGTCTGTAAAAGGAGAAAAAACATTTTACTTGCCGTAAGCAGATAACAACATGTAAAGTAGCAATGTTTGTCATTAAGTATTTGTCAGGTGCATTCTATACCGTCTGTTAATGCTATCTAACAACCATAATAATGTTCAAAAAGCATTGGTTAAGAAACTTTTCAACAAAGACTATCACGAGGCATTGGCGATATCAAATCCATCGTCGTACTGCAAACCGCATATAAAAAGTGTTGTTATTTAAATTTCTCAACGAAGAGAGAATTTAAAGATATGATCTATCAGACATATTCAACTGGCCTTGCTTCGTCTGAGTTTCTATTATTCAACTGTTTTAAAATAAAGATTAAATATCCACCTAGATGCAATAAATTTAACTGAGAAATCAGTTTGACACATGTCGATGAATACAAAAAGATTATTTAAAAGTAAATCGAGCTTGCTATCGAACATTATTATGATGTCTTCTAGCCTTTTGCTATAAACAAATAAATATAATGTACTGCTTATTGAAAGCATGTTACTAGTTCTCAGAGCTTTTTGAACGTCCTATGTAAAAGCTATTGTTGGCGTTTCGGTACAGAATTGATCTTCTTTAGAACTTATTGTTACATATACTATTAATGTTCGTATTTTGCATGTACGTGTATTCTTTTCTTTTATTTCATTTTGTTCTTCTTTTTGATGGTGATATGGATAGGACAAGACGACGATACTCGAAGTAAACAACACTTAGTTTTCCTCAATCGTACCACTGTCAAAAAGAAGAACAAAACAAAAGAAAAGAAAATATGCACATACAAAAAACGAACATCAATAGTATATGTAACGACAAGTTCTGAAGAAGGTCAATTCTGTATCGAAATGTCAACAATAATTTTTAATTTCATGTAATTTTTATTTTTATTTTATTAATTATGTTTATTTATTGTATTACTTTTTATATTAATTTAATTTTTATCCTAAATTAATTTTCTATTATATTAGTTAAATTATTTTTATTTCTATTTAATTAACAAAAAATTTTTATCAAATAAACTACATTTAGAAAAAGAATACCTTTTAAAATTTTAAAATTAATATGCCCGTCCTTTACCGATCTCTACTTCAAATAACGAACATTGGAATATCGCTGGTTTTTCTGCATGCGAATAACACGAGTTCAACAGAGCGTCCGTCAGCAAATACGAATGTCGCAGGAAAACTTGAAGCATATGTATTAAAAAGAGTTTGAGTATCATTGACAAATGTTTGTTTGCAGGACGGTGATAATCCACACCTTCTTGGGTAGGTTATACGCATTGTGATTTGTGCAAATGATCGAGTAGATATGAACTGATCACAACTAGATCTGAAACAGAGTTATACAAGTGCTGAGAAAGAATGTATTAGAAAAAAAAAACACGCAAAATGTAGACGCACAGTTGCCGTTTTTTTCTGTGACGTTCACGACGGCGACGACGACCACTACCAGCATTTGTTCTAATACCATTAATCACAATATTAGTGATTCTTACCGAGCCTGCTGGGAAACCATAGGCAGATTCTATCTAGAATTTCGTTCAATTCAATTAATTAAGACATATGTAATAACTAATAGAAATACGATTACTTGTCGAGCTATCTGATTAGCGTTGGTGACTGTCGTACTCTGATTATTGATTAGTATCGAGTTTGAGACAAACGTTTGTGTTATGTCACCAGTTTCTACAATATGACATGCATGATCAAAATAGGCAATCACTTCTCATAGCATTTTTGCAAAAAAAAAACTAAGTTATTGTATGAAAAAGTTGCTTGAAGATAATTGACATATAAAAGAAACTAATTTGTGAATATCAAATAACATCGAATACAAAGAAAATACTTACGATACCATCTCTTTATCATTTTCATCCTAGATAACATGCAGTAAAGGTAATTTTTACAAGACGATGCTTTCGTACCAGAGTTTAGCAAACTTTAAAGTTTGCATTCTATGCATTTGGAAACATTAACTACATTCGCAGCCGACGTCAACTCTGATGCTGTTTTCTTTACTTTCTTATGGTACTAGTGATCTACAATATTCACCGTAAAATGGAAAAAGTCAAGAAAAATTAGATTCATCACTGGTCTATATTATTCATTACTTAATTTTGACTATAATAAGGATAGTTTTTTTGCATTCTATTATTAAAAAAAAAAGATTTCATTTTGACACAGTAGAACGAGCTCTTCGACATACGGGAGCGACATTTCTCTAAATTTTTTGTTGAAGATCAGCACATTGTCCTTTTGATTCTCGGACATTACTAAGTGCCTACTCGGTAGTTAAACAGCCATCGCCACGGGAACTTTCACCCATCGTTGATCTAGAAACTGAGATTTGTGGAAGTTTCTAATATTAATTTCATATATTAGTTAGTTTCCTATACTCTTTAACTTTTTGTGTAAGACACAAAATATGAAAATAGACGACAAAAAATGTTAAAGTAAATAATATAGCAAACGTGACCAATGCTCGTATATATATGAGCCCTACCATGTAATTCACAGCCGAAGTTGTTTAACCGATAGTGTCAGATTTGGCAGATTCTCTCAAATATTGTCGAGACAAGCGTTTGACACATATCCCTAGAGAAAGTACTGAGTTCAGGGTACTCATGTACTAAGAAAGGCCTAGCAGGGTACCCAATATGGGTACTTCAAAAATTCTCAGTAATTATACTAATGTGGGTACTGAGTGTAGTTTCCATAAAAGTACGCTCACTTAAGAAGTACTTGTATAGATACTCGCATCTGTAATTTTACTGAGGCAAGCTATACAGGATACCCTATATTTGTCGCGTTCTGTGTAGCGACTATTCATTCACCGTTTTCTTTTTCACGCACGGCTCCATATAAACAACTGAGTAAGACATAAGAAATTAATCTATTTTCATACTAATTTTTTCTAGATTATTTCTTGACTATTTCTTAGTCGAGAACATGCCGATCTTGATCGTAGATTAAGAGCGGACTACTCCGAAGTGATCTGATGGATACCTGACCAACTCAAGTCGGGTCAGATCCCGGGATTGTACCTGCTAAGTTTTCGGAATTGAAAAAAAAATGTAGTAAACGGCTTTGAGAGAAACAAAAATTAAAAAAAGTTAAAGGTCAGGTTCGATCCTGAACATACTGAAATTTTTGTAGCAGGGCACCTAGAAATACTATACAATAGTACCCAATTGAGTATCTGATCAGTACCTTCAAGTACTCAGTTACTACACATTTTGTAGCAGGTTACTTGTTAAAGTACCAGTTAGGTACCTGCAAGTACTTCGAAGTACTTTGGTACCCAAAAGTTCCTGTGACATACTGGTAACAGGGTACTTTTTCGGGTACCCTTAACTCAGTACATTCTCTAGGGATCTACGTAAACTGTTTGGAAAGAAACATAGCTATACTGTTGAGATATTCAATTATTACAAGAACCTCAAGTAAAAACCAGCTAGTTCTAGACATATTCTCAGAAAAGTATATATTCGGTCACTGTAGATCTTTTTCATTTTTCATTTTGACTTTATTCAAAATATATACTTCATTAATGACAGAAAATAACTTTGAAAAGCTTTATCACAGCGATGTTATAAATATCTTGTAAGAACTTCAAATGAGCTCTTTTAAACGAATTTTTAAGTTTCATGTCTCTCGATCAATAAAAGTTCGCCAAAAGGTACTTCGCACATCAGAAGATCATGCTCATTACTCACTCTCTGGCACAAGTTTCAGGAGTGTATTCGGCTGTCTTTCTGAAAGACATCCAACTTATGTCAGTTTTTAACCTAATTCTATTTTATCGAAAGATACGTAATAAAACTAATATACTCTATGAATATTGGACTGGATGATGAATCAAACATCAAATGCACTCTATAGGATAATGTACAGCCTATGATGATATTTCAAAAAATCGATATAATAGACCTTCTAAATTACAAACCAAGATTTTTATCAAGAGTTCATCGAAGCCATATTTAGAATTCTTAGTGAAATGAACGAAAATTACACTGTTTAGGATGTGAATGTGAAAAAAAGAAAAGTGAAGAGAAACTCTCTACCCACATCCGATGTTTTACTGTAAAAAACCTCCCTACAGACTAGTCTTTAAGAGTTTACAAAAAAATTGATGGGTGCTGCTACTAGCTTATAAAACAAGTCTACTAAACATATCCTTGTTACCTGTGAATCATGCTCTATCTATCAAAAATGCACAATCTTTCGATGACTATCTATTCGAATGCAACAGAATCTTACATTTTTCAAAGAATTTTTGCAACAGTTGCCATAATCAATTGAAATTCGACTCGACGACGTAGAAGTCTAGAATGAAGATTGGACTTGGCTTTGTACCTTGTATATCCGCGAACTGTGCATGTGTAATGAATTATTATCGTCTCATATGTACTCGAGGAAAATATAATAAGTAGACTTTTTATACGGACCCAAGAAAGTTGATGAATAGCACACATACTAAACATAAGCTAATCTTCTTTGTATTTTCATGGAAAAATTACAAAAATATCTTAATCTTTTTCAATTTACTTTCAAATCGGTGAGATTTTCGTTTGAAAATAATGACAGCTTCAATTTCTGTATACTTTGAAGGTTTCAAACAGTTTGGATCAGAGATGTCTATCGCGGCTGAAGATCTGCCGCTACCGCGCTGTGTCCTTAGAATAAAAAGCTGCCGCACCGCTGCCACGCCACGATGGTGTATAAAAAAATGTTGCCGCGCCGCGATACCTTATAAAAAACCTTGCCATGATGAATTATAAAATAAACGTGCTGTCGCCGCGGCCGTTTTCAAAAAAGTGTTTCTAATTTCGCTGCTGCGACTATATTTGACCAGAGGTATTGGTACTAGTCCATCAGATTCATTCAGTCTCGGGATGTTTCATTTATAAACCCTGAAATTCTATTAAATTCATGCAGTTTTCCAATGTTCTCCAAAAAAATGCTGCCGCTACCGCGATGGACATCTCTGGTTTGGATTCAGTCATGTCTATTATGATCTGTTTCTCACTAAAATGATCTATACGAAATGATATTGAATATATTGGAAAGAAGTATTCACTCATAAATAACAACTGCTCTAAACTGGGTGAATCATTATTAAGATTGCCGAAAAAATCAATATGGTAATCAACCAAGATTCTATTCATCAAACCCTAAAGGAAAAGGACGTGTAGAATAAAGAAGAAACTTTTGACTGCGAAACCTTATAGAACATGATCTTTTGCTTCTTAAAAACTGTCTAGATAATCGTCGGCAGATACAAGAGATTGTGGATGGCGAGTATCACTCCTTGTGATATAGGAGCCGAAGACATACAGTGATCATATCGAGTAAATTCGGCTTGGTTACCATAAAAACTTGGTAGAAAACTGGAACATTCGAATAATGAATAATGTTCAATTTCTTAAATAAAAAATCTTTCTCTGTGCGAAGCACCATTAAAAGACAATGATTATTGTAACTAGGACAAATGATAACTTCTTTTTTTATTATTAACTATTGCTGAACGACAAAATCAGAAAATGGTTTTCAAATCATCAAAATTTTCTTTAAACAAACTCAATACTTTTGACTGTCTCGAATATAATCTTTTTCATGAAACATTCATGGTGCACTTTTCTGATTAGGAATATGCTACAATATGTGTTAGTAGAAAACTGAATTTCGCATTATATTCATTCTCTCATACTATTTCTAAATTTTTCACAATAATGACTTGGCAAAGAGCATCATGTACTATTTAGCTGAAGAAGAGAATTGACAAACCTGTGCTGTTGTTATACATCATGTTTTCACTAGGATTTCTGACATATACAGGTATCAATGAAAGTATGATCGCGATCGTAAGCCCAAACATAAATAGGCACATGAATACGCCGATCGTCCATGGAATGTATTCAGTAATCCGGCTTCTGAAATAAAAATGCAGAAAAGGTGTATCATTCATTTCTTGTTAATAGAAAGCGAAAGCAGTATTAAAGTTGACCTGATGAGGTACGGTTTTCAAATGGAAAATAGTTTTTCGATTGCGACTGTGACCATTTTATCGTTCCTAACGAGTAATGTAACTCCTTAACTTGAATTCAATGTATGAACCTTTGAGGCTGAGCTATGAACTCTAGTTTACTGGCTTCTCGAGTTGTTCTAAGGCATTTTGAAAAAAGGGAGTCGAGTTTTCAATTTGAAAACTTGCAAATAGATAGAACTCGTGCTTAGCAGAATGTCGTAAAAGATACAGTTGAAACGTATGTTTCCATACCGAGAGATTAAGTTCTTCAAAAACTCATGTTTTATTGAAAATTAGAAGCACTTGCCCTGCTTGAAAAACGCATATTTCGAAGACGCATTCGTTCCTACTAAAACTTGTGGGAAATTATGGTAACGATGAGATCTGTTCATGTTGAGAATTTCAAATCGAAAACATGACATCCGATCTTGCCGGAAAAGCTTTAGAATAGATCGAGAGGTGATTCAAATAGTGTTCATTACACAGCTTTAAAGACTCAGAGAAGTCAGTCAAACGTAGAGAATTATGAAGTTGGCTATGACAGATTTAGTTATCACTGCCTTAGTTGAGAAGTGTATTCATACTTGGAAATCTTTCCTTGTGATCAGTAGCTAATTAGCATGTTAATCATGATGTTAGTGAACAAAACGTCGACAAACTTACTGCCGCCTATCTAAACGACTATAACGAGTATAATTGTTCTTTGATGCTAGCATTGACGATTATTGTGATATTCACGATACACTGTTGTCAGAAACTTTGGAATCAAAGTTGTAAGCTTGATTTCTAAAATGTATGATTCAAATCATTGACTACATATTCAATAGACTCGAGAAAAAAAAATTTGAATATTGAAAATGTCGATGTACACGTTGTCGAAGTTATGACTTTTCTAAGCACTAGGTCATTTCACAGTGGAGCTCTTTTGAGGATTGAACTATCATGAACGATAGAATGATTTGCTGAACTATATTTTCTCTACTGCTCCCTTACAATTTCGTTAGGCTATATATATATATACGTACCAGAGAGTCCAAGGTAAGAGACAGCACCATTACTTTGTCAATACGTTTTCCATCTTTTGTATGCTAAGGTCAGAATAATTTTTTACAGATTTCTTCTTTATTTAGGTCCGAGAATACATTAAAACCGTTAACTTTAGATAGCAAGTGCAAAAATTGACATAAAATTGTTTTAAAACTACAACATATTGACATTTTTAAACGGCTTTCTCAAAAGATTCCGACTGTAATCTGCGTTTTAAAAATTGAAGAAATCCTGACACAAGTTATTTGCATAAACCAAAGACTGCTGTTTTTGTGGCGAATCGTTAAGTTAGTTTCAATGAAGTTTCGTTTTGACTCCAGAAGGAATTTTCTTATGTATATAGGAAATTAAACACAATTTGTTTATTTTTACATTTCATTCATTATGGTGGAAATAGCTTACTCAAACTCAAATTTTCATGCAATATGTCATTCATGTCTCGTTAAATTAAAAGCGAAAATTAGTGTAAACGATTTATTGTTGACTGATGCATGGGATTTTTTTTGATTGTATTCAAACTGTCCTTTCTAAAACGCGATTTTTACAAAATTTGAAAAAACGGCGATTTTTATCCTATAATAAATTTTGTGACATGAAACGAATTGGACTGAGGCTGGATGACAGAAGCTTCCAACTCTACAAAATAACTTCTATGTTCTTCTAGTGTCTCGTAATACTCGGTAACAAACAAAACAAAGAAATATGTTCTTCCGCAAGAAAATTGGCTATGTATATGAATCCTAATTCGACATAAACTATTTTTATACTTCCTTGAAGACAATTATATGAACAGCCTTTCAAAGAAGTGCGCATTTTAAACGATGAAAACCCAAAAGAGATACTGATAAGATGTTAGCATAATAATTCTGTATGGATCACTCGACAGTGATGAGGTTTCGTGAATAAGCTGTACGAATCAAACTGCATAGTCCTTTGCTCTATTCGTCCATTTAGCTCATGGTTTCAATTATTGTCCCAATTTGGGTATAAGTTCCTGTCACGGTCTCCACCGTGATATCACGTGGGATCTAGATTTCAGTCGCTGTTTTTATGTTACTCTCAGTTCAGGTCACACTGCCGGTGACAGTCTCCACCACGATATTATTCGGGATCCAGGTTTCAGCCGCGGCCTCCAAGCTACTCTAGATTGGGAAAATGGTTTCAGTCACTGACCCACACTGGTATCAGTTGGGTTCCAGATTTCACTCCCGTTTCCCATGCCGCTGTCAGTTCTTATGAGAGTTTCATCGATCAGTCCGATCTCGGTCGGTATCAGCCGGGGCGACGATTACAGTAAAAGCCTTCCCTACTAGTAGCATTTGGGATGTATGTTTCAAGCTTGGTTCCTATACCACTCTCAGTTCGAAACACGAATTCAGTTGTTGTCCCGACGCGCTATCAGTTCGACTCATGTTTTCAGTCACAGTTCGCACACTGACATCAGTTGGGATCTAGGTTCTAGTCTGATTCCTGACGCTGCTGTTAGTTTGTTTCAGGATTTCCAAGGGGGAAAAAGCTGACCCTGGAGGTCGGAATCAATGGAATCATTCGGAAGCAATCAAAATCACTAGGAATCACATAGAATCTTATGAAATCAAACGTAAAAAAATGCCTGCTTATACTCGCGAATCAGGTTTTTTCATGCCGGGGTCTCGGCCAATCATACCTTTTCATGCAGTGGCTTCGGCCAATCAGGTTTTTTCACACCATGGTTTCGACCAGTCGGATATTTTCACGTCGCGACTTCGGTTAATTAGGTTTTTTCTCACGGCGACTTCAGTCAATCAGGTTTCTTCTCACGACAGCTTCGGCCAATCAGATTTTTTTATGCCGCGATTTCCACCAATCAAGTTTTTTCATGCAGCGGTTTCCACCTATCAGATGTTTTCACAGTGCGGTTTCAGCCAATCAAGTTTTTACACACGGTGGTTTCGGTTAATTAGGTTTTATCTCACGGCAGTTTTGGCCAATCAGATTTTTTCACACCGTGGTTTCGGCCACTCAGATTTCTTTCATGCTGGGGATTTGGCCAATCAGGCTTTTACATGCTGCAATTTCGGCCAACCAGGTGTTTCCTGTGCAAACACCTGATTGACTGAAACCACCGTGAGAAAAAATCTGATTGGCCGAAACTGCGGCATGAAAAAATCTGATTGACCGAAACCACGGTGTGAATCAACCTGATTGCTGTAACCGCTGCATGAAAAAACCTGATTGGCAGAAATCGCGGCATAAAAAAATCTGATTGGCCAAAGCTGTCGTGAGAAGAAACCTGATTGGCCGAAACCGTGGTGTGAAAAAACCTGATTGGCCGAAATCGCGCTGTGGACACACCTCATTGGCCGAAAGCGCTGTATGGAAAAACCTGATTGGTCGAAGTCGCCGCAAGTAAAAACCGGATTGGCTAAAGCCTCGGCATGAAAAAATCTGATTGGCCGAAACCGCGATGAGAAAAATCCAATGGGACAACATAATAGTGGACAGAAGTCATGATATTCATACAGATTCTGGAATCAATAGAATCATATAGAATCAATGGAATCAATGAAATCACGGAATCAGCTTTTCCCCCCTTGAGGATTTCATTGGCTGTCCCGATCTCGGTATCATTTTAGGCGACTGTTCCAGTAAAAGCTCTCAGGTTGTTAACGGTTGAAATCTAGGTTTCAGGCTCAGCCTCAGTGTCGCCCTCAGTTCGGAACGCCGATTCAGTTGTCATTCTGATCCAAGTATCAGTTAGACTGAGGATTTCAGTCTGTTCACATGATACTATTAGTTGCAACGACGGTTTCAATCGCGACTCGAAAGCTGCTCTCATGTCTGGACATGGGTTCATTCGCGGCCCCAACGCTGAGACCAGTTGGGATCCAGATTTCAGTGTCGTTTTCCATGCTGCTATCAGTTCGTTGTCTCGTTTTGTTTGCCGTCCTGACCCCGATATAAGTGCGGGTTCCGGCTTCATTGACGGTCTCGGTCGGCGTACTGTCCGGGCCTGGCTCGATTCCGTTATCACTTTGCGTTCTGACATCAATGTAACTGTCGACATCTCTCTCAGTGGAAATTCCGATCTTGCTATTACTGCGAGTCCGAACTTCACTCAATTCGTACGCGCCGACGAAAATTGGGTATTAGGCCGTTAGAGAATAGTTAATTGACTAATATTTGCACTTCTGAGTATCTACCATCTCAACTTTTTCAGTTCGTATTCCTAAAAAAATATCCAACAGCAGTCGCAGCGTCAACAAACATGCGAAAACTAGATATTGGATGTTACAACTATTCACTCTGATTCCATAATCCTAAATAACAGTAACTTGGGAAATACGTATCTAAAAATTGAACGGAAATTATGAAGGACTTATTTCCCATTCAACATCACATTTTAGTTTCAGCGACATGAAATCTTCTCGTAAACTAAATGTATACAATACCTAACAGCCGTATCTTAAGGGTACGTCCTTTTTCTCGCTCAAAACTTTTGTTCTTTTTTCAATTTTGGTTTTTTGTGATCATTGTATAGTTTCATATGGCATCTATCTACCGAGTTCGTTTTGGGACTCAAACATTGTCTTCAAACGTTAAAAAAAATCGAGAAGAAATAAAATTTACATAATGAAAATAGCAAAAACTGTACATTGTTTCGTGTTTTTCTCAAAACAATTTTTTCATGAAAAAAGTGCAAAAATGCTTCCGTTTCTTCGGGATGGTATGTCCGATCGAGCTGAAACTTTTTTCATATATAGTAGACACTGTTTTGGATAGGTATTTGTTTTTGTTTCAAAAACTATTGTTCTGCTGATTTTTGGTAGCTCTTACAAAAAGAGCTCTATTCAAAAAAACATACGTTTTTTAGTGTACCTTCGATATTTTGACTTTTTTATTCGAAGGACAAAAGATAACAAGAAATTAAAAAA